TATATATATATATATATATATGTGTGTGTGTGTGTGTACATTGAATCTGGTTCTCTTTAAAAAAAGGACACCCCTGCATATATATATATATATTAGAGATGTGCATCTCCATAACTGAGGCCGATGCGATACGCATCTCAATGCATAGCCAACGATACGATACACTGACGATACATATGAAGTAGCTAGCTATGCGATGCAATATGATTCACCCCTATTACGATGCAGTGTGATCCGATTTCGATTCGATCCGATTCAACACAATGCGATTTGATGCAATGGAAAAAATATGATCACATTTATTTCTTTGGTTCAGGCAGACAGCAAATCATAAATTAACTTATGTGTCTTCTGACTTTGAATGCCTCGAGGCCTGTTTCATAAAACAAGTTTACCAAATAGGCCAGGCTTATTTCAGTTAGTCTGACTCATTGTCAAATGATTTGGTTCCATGAAGCAAATCAACTTCAGTCACTGTGGCAACTTATGCTGGGAAACTAAAGCAGGTTAACTCTCAGATTAAGCGGAGTTCCTCTAACACTGACCAATAGGAACGCTATTATTTGACTTTTAAAAATTTTTTATTTTACAGTGCTAGCCAAGCAGAAAGGCTCTCTCTGGTTTAATGACAGCTGTACCATAGCAGAACATTAGAACATTACAGTCTAAAATTGCTCTTTAAAGCATTAAAATCACTGAATTAAAATCAAAATAAATAATAAAGAAATATGTAGGTTTAAAATTTACAAAAGGAACATTTAATGTCCAACAACGAATATTTTAGCAAAATGCATATTTGACTCAGAATTATTGCGCTCCGTCTGTTTAGCCTGCATGTGCGCAGCAGCGCTCGTTCACTCGCGCATGCCTCGCCCACTCCTGACAGCAAGCAAAATGGATATATTTGCATGACTTTCTAACATTTACAGAGAAAAAATATACTCGTGGCATGTCAGTTATGCACTGAGGAAAACACAACGTCTCAAATGCATTAAACAGCACAAATATATTCGCTGTTTGCCATGGTGGATCGATTTGATCCATGATCGACATTAAGGGCTGCTTAAGATTAAGCGTCCACAAATTAGTTAGATTGTGTGAACTTACATTGTCGTTTATGGAACTGCTTTAGCCCCGATTGATTTGTTAGGTTATTTCAAGTCAGATTTTGGACTTTAATCTCAGTTTTTGCTCGGTCTCTGTGGTGTTGTGATGCGTCATATTCACGCGCAGCGGTGATGAGAGAATGCGCTTGAGAAACAGTTTCTCGAGGAGAAATCAATCTACATATAAAATATTGGTCACAGATTATTGGTCACTTTATAAACAATAAAAGTGTAGCTATCCACTAGTAATTATATATAAATAAATGTTTTTTTACCGATGCAAATATGTTAAAAATGATGTATCGTGATACAAATGCCAACTTGTATCTGATGCACACTTTTTAAACCGATGCATCGCATCGTTAACTTTTTTTTGTCGATGCACCGAGAGAATCGGTGAATCTTCCCATCCCAAATATATATATATATATATACACACACACAAGACACTGAGGAATTTAAATAATAAAACATCATGCTTGACATACTTCAGTTTGTCCAATGAGCAGTTTGAGTCCTCCAGTTTTTCAGAAAGCAGCTTGACTCCTGAATCTCTGGGGTGATTGTAGCTCAGATCCAGCTCTCTCAAGTGTGAGGGGTTCGAACTCAGAGCTGAAGACACATAACCACAGCCTTCCTCTGTCACCATACAGCCAGACAATCTACAAATACAGCAACAGTCCATGTGACATCTCTTACACACATTTATACTTATTTCAGCCATTTATTACAAGTCCATTGTTTTTTAATTTCTGTGTTACTTTTGCTATATTACTTTAATTGTTTTGGTTCAACATACTTATCTTTTGATCAATATTGCCTTAAACTTATACCAGAAAAAAATTATTTAGTTTTATTTAGTAACTTTCAACATTTTATCACTTTGATATGAACATCTTATTTCTGTCAGGACGACTATCGTTAAAGATGATTGACAATTAGCATACAGTTTGGATTGGCGGTATGGTTCTGTTCTGGGCAAGAACTCCCTGCGCATCCATGCAGCCTAGCATTGCAGGAGAGCAGTGATAACCC